GGAAGATTTAGAGACGATGGCAAAAGACCCAGTGGTATGACTTTGACCCCGTCAGAGAAAGGTAAAGTCCTTGTGGGGAATGCTTGACACTTAGAACACCTGTTTTAGGGCCGGGGCTGCAACAGGAGCGACTCAGTTCAAATCTCAATTTGAGTCTCAGAAAACAAGGTACATATTTGCGCCGGTTGCTGGAGAGACTATTAGCGCGAGGGGTCCAAGCACTGTCTAGTTCCAAAATTTTGTTCTATTCTAAATTAGCTGATTCTCACCGCTCGCTGGTGAAAAGAGGAATGTTCCCAGAGCGACACGACTTAGGGACCTTCAAGTATACTTGTATAAGGTTTATGGGAATGTATTTGGCACTATGCCGCCAGGAATTAGGATTATAATAACTTTTGTTTTTATTTTTCTTCTTAATTATTTTTATATAGAATCAATAAAATATAATAAATATTAATTTTGTGATTGTCAATTTAGCCACCATAATTTAAAAACGAAATAAGTACAAAAATCCGAAGTCCGAGGAATCCAATCAGAGTGAATAGGCTTTTTTTACGATAAGACAGTGTGATTTACCATCTAGGGCTGCATCACCACTTACCAACGGTGGGAGGTGAGATTGTGGTCAAGCACTGGCTTATAATAAGTAAAAAAAAATCCTAGTTTGGTTGTCCATCTCTTGTTACTATTTTACTTAAAGAATTGATACAAAATATCACTTTTTTGTAAAAATTGCATTATAGAAAAGTAATTTCTGCCCACATTGAGCTGTAATTTAAAATAAAAAAGCTATTTGTACTTGCTTGCGTTATTACGCTCGAGTTTGAGGCTGTGCGAAGACAAATGATGCGTGGGAGTCATTCCCCAACGACCCCGCGAGTTTCATTAGCAACAACGTTAATTAACTAGCAATATTTTAATGAGAAAATTCTACGTGCTGTTCTTTTCTATTTGCAATTTCTTAAAATAATTCGGAACAAAACGGATTAACATTACTTCAATATCATTAATTAAATTTACATAATATTATACCTGTTATAATAACATGCCTTGTACACAAGCTCTAATATTTTTTTATGTGTAGCTCTAAAATACCATATTGTGCAATATGAAAACGAATCAAGAAAAATACCTGCTTAAAAAGAAAACATCATTAAGTGCCAACATTTGACAAACACATTCGAGAAAGTATATTGTAAAGTTCAGAGTTCCAGTTTCAGTTCAGTTCATAGGTCATTAGAGTACACACAGCAGTAAAGCACGAAACATATTAATATACCAAATGAAATTTGTCATTTGGAATAAACTATTCCTCAACACGTCATTTATTATGAATTCCCCTAATATTTACAAAACAGACTTTGCGAACATGAATAAGAAGAATGATGATGCTAATTTCGAATAGTCTGATATTGTGTATCTATATAACACTAGCTATCCATCCCGGTTTCGCACGGGTGATTTCTGGATCTCACCAACAGCGCCACCTACAGGATTCAATTGTTAACCTATGTCGTCCAGGGACGCACTCAAATACAAAAAAAAATCATCAAAATAGGTCGAGCCATTTTCTAGTTTTAGCGAGACTGACGGACAGCAATTGATCTTTATATATATATATTACAGAATACAAGGTTAGTAACCTTGGTTTCAGTGGATAAGCTTTTTTCAATGGACTAACGAGCACACAGTACACCTGATGGTAAGTGGATGCTGTGGCCCATAGATATTTACATCTATCATCGATTAAGAATCAAGCTATAGACGCATTACCACCCCTGAGGTCTAAGATGGAATGCCTCGTTTCCACTAAAACGGGTCACCAGTTCTCTACACTCACCATACGAAACACAGCAGCATTAAGCTGCTATTTCGGACTGGTATACTGTGAGAGCGTGATCCTTCCCCAGTTGAGCCAATCCATTCGTGCTACAACCATAATATAGCTGCAGAGTGCTAACCACGTAACGCGGCAACCATTCTTGTAGTAATAGTGTAGAGATCGTAAAAGGAACTTTTATAATAGGTGGTAGAACTTTTTTTGCCTAGGAGTCTGTCTAGCTAGGTTCTACCCTCTTACCTATTTCTGCCACCAAATAGCAGTACTTGCGTTGTTCTGTTCCGGTCTGAAGAATATAAAGAGTCAGTTTAATTACAGGCCTCGAGGCATTCTATCTGAACCCTTAGGAAAGACAACGGATCAGTAGTCTTCTTTGTTTGAAGTTGGCTGCATGTGTCCAAGCACTGCAGTAACTAGCAAAATAATTTAATCAAATGTTATTCTAGTATTGTATTGATTTATGATTATTAGTAATACATATTTAAATGTGAACATTGATTGAAATTGTTATTTCTTAAAATATTTTTTTTTCTTCTTTTAAATTCATGAGATTTGAGATTGCTCTTGTGAGCCTATGTGAATAAAACAAACAATTCCCACCACGTGGGCTGTAAGTGAGTTTGTCATTTTATTTATAAAGAAAAAAAGAATTCGATCGCTATCATTACTACTCACAATTAAATATTAAAACCGTCGGAGACACCATACGAAATTTTCTTAAATATTTTTATTTCAGATTAAAAGTGCGAACTAAGTAAATTGCTGTTTATTATTGTAGTATAAAACACACACACAAGGCAATATAAAGAATAACTCTATGAATTTTTTTATTTTAATTTTATTTGTCTTTAATCTTGTCTGGTCGTGAGCAGTGTCGTAACTGTAAGTATTTTATATGTAAGCCATATGCATATAAATAAAATAAAATATATTTATTTCTTAGACGTAAGAAAATAAAGTTTCTTATGTCAAATATAATTTTTTTCAATCTACTAAATCTATTACCTCTGTCCGGGGAAGAAACGGCGAAAGAAACTCCGCAGGTATCTTCTTTTTTGAACCATCCATACACGTGTTAATGCATTTAAAGTTTTTAAAAGGTAAATCCTAGAAAGTAAATATATTTAACATTATAATGGTAATTAGTATGTGCTTTCTATCTGTTGGCTTTAATTTCGTCGGTTGCCTAAACTTAAAAAAAATCTGTTAACATAACTTCATCTTTGTAAAGATGTTAAGCTTGACGTTATATTTTTTCTTTTTTAAAAATGTGTCGATTGTAAAATAATTATTTTCATCAAATATTGAAAATTCATGAGTTCGTTATTAAGTAAAATATACCGCAGTCGGACAGGCTTCAACCAGTACTATAATGTGTATTATAATGCGTATATCAAGTATCACCTTAAGTACAAATATTCATATTATGTTGTACAGTTACCAATGTGTTTAAAGTTTTGCTTCTTATCAATGCCTCTTCATTTTGAAGATCTTATAAGGCATATTCAATCTTGTCTCGTTTCTTTGCACCGCGCCGCCCCTCTAACGGAGGCAGGGCTCTGACTCTATCAACACTTGCACCGACTCAATCATTCGTCAATCGTAATGTTGGAGGAAAAAGATAGAAATATTTCTGCACCATTTGCACGAAAGAGAAACGCTCTATCGACTATTGAACGATTATCGAGTGAATACTACCAAAACGAAAGACAGCAAATGTGATTCAAAACATTGGTTATGCTAGTGTTTCAGATACAGAAAAGGCTGTTCTGTCGTAGGAGTGAAAGAGATGTACGTTTGTTTTTTGAGCTTTCTCGGTGCAAGTGTAGTGTATGAACATTCATAAATTGCTTGCAGGAACATGGCGTACGAATAATAAGCGAAACCATTTATTTAGTCAGAGTTTTGTTTTGCTATGCGTGTCGGCATTCGGAGTAATTGTTGTTTCGATACGGTACGGGTATGCAGAACTCTCCCGCCTCTATTAACATTTATGATAATATATTGTTTTATTAAACTTATGTTACAATTTTATAACCGTGTTGAAAGGTATACATGTAAAACTTAACTTACGTTATAATAGAGTTTAATTAAACCAATTTATAAGAAGTTTATAGACTGTTTACTTAAAAAAAAACCCTTGACGTCTTTTGATAGATACTCCTTTCACTTGTAATAATTTTTATAGAGTAAGGGTGACAAACGGGCACAAAGTCCACTTGATGGTAAGTGGATATTGTGGCCCATAGACATCTAGGTCTATCCTCGATTAAGATTCAAAATGCAGATGAGTTGTCACTCCTGAGGACTAAAATGAAATCTCTTGTTTCCAGTAAAAAGTGTCTCCGGTTCTCTACACTTACCACACGAAACACAGCACCATTGAGTTGCTATTTTATGCTGGTATTCTGTGAAAGCGTGGTAATCCGCCGTTCGAGACGACCTATTTATGACACAACCATATAGCTCTACTACGTAAAAATTGTGATCACATTAAGAAATATTAAATAAAATTACAAGCCATCTTGATCCTCAGGGATGACATGATATCTTTGACATTGTTTGGTTGTAGATATCTATGGGCTGCAATATCTACATACATATGGTGGACTGTTAAATTTGTTGACCTTACTTATAATTCAGACCCAATGTTATAAGCTATAAAATCTTCTTTATTACAGTCCTTTAGGTTGTCTCGCCACTGCTGAATTTATATGGATCTTCTCTAAAAACAACAAGTACGGTCTCGATCCGGAGCCACCTGCATTGAATACCAGCGTAAAATAGCAGCTTAATGTTGCTGTGTTTCGTATGGTGAGTGTAGAGAACCGGAGACACTTTTTACTGGAAACGAGACATTCCATCTTAGTCCTCACGGGTGACAACGCATCTATATTTTAATTCGTAATCGAAGATAGATTTAGATGTCTATGGGCCACAGCAACCACTTACCATCAGGTGGTCTGTGTGCTCGTTTGTCACTCTTATCCTATAAAAAATCCTTTTTTTATGCGTGCGATAATATTATTATGAATTTAGCATAAAAACAGAACTCACATCACAGTTTAAAGGTAGCTAAATAACATACAATAATTATAAGCTTTTCAAAAATAATAATAAATTGTGGAATTAGACTTTTGAATTGAGTTTTGTCTTGCAGTTATGTACCAAAAGCGGCTCAAGAAAGAACGGAAACAACGACAACAGATCCAGGAACAGTTAGAGAATGAACTGAAAAGGCGGCAGAAGATAGAGGAAGCGCTTAAACAGTCCGGTGCTCCTGCAGAAATACTCAGAATTGTCACTGGTAAGCAATCACTCGCCTTTTTTCTCTCTCTTATAATTACAAAACACAACCATGAAATGGTGGTGGAACATTTTAATGCCTAAGAGTCAATTTTTTTTTAAGTTTAAAATGGAACGTTTAAATATTAGTTATATTAGTGACAAACATGATATAGTCTATAGCAAGCTCTTAATACAAACACATTTTGCTATATTAGTAACATAACATGACAGTGAACTCTCATAGCTATTCATTCATTTTATCACGGAATTAGAAATTACGTATTAATTTAATGCAATCATTATATTTTCTTAAGTAATATCAAACTTATAAATTTAACGCTCATCAAATAATCGATATAATCACTGTTATACTTCGGCAAGTATCAACAAAGTGCTCACTAGTGCTCCTGACATGTTAACTTACCGTCTGTCAAACTATCTGCGTATCAACTTAAACTTGGGAAACGTCACTTCAAAAGGTCTCGCATCACCTTGTTTCTAGCATTCTAATTTCGACTGTAAGTCTTACCTTAGTTAGTTTATTTCGCTAGTAGATACTTTTGATATGTGCTTTTATAAAGTGGTACCGTATGTGGAGTGCGTGACGTAAGAAGGGTGGTAAACGCCAGTGAAGGCTTGTACTAATCTCCGTGTCAGGAAATCGTTTCGCAGGCCATTTGAAACGAGGGTTCGGGTGCTGATCTAACACGCATTTGAGCTCAATATCCTGCATAATAGTTGTTTATTAGTTGCTTCGTTTCTTCAAATAAGTAAAGGCTAACTCTGACTAATGTACAATCATAATTAGGCTTTGACATTTTTGGATACTCTATGGCATATCTACTGATTGCCTTCACTGACTACACTTAGATCTCTTTTAAATTGGTTAACTTGGCTAAAATTCATGCTTAATGCCGATTAACTTACTAGAGCCTCGGAGTATAAACGCTTTTGTTTGCCATTAATCGTAAAGAAACTTAATCGAATGTACGATGCTTTGATATTACAAGACATCCAAATCCCGATAAGCACACAAAGTTTAAGTACTATTGACAAAGTGAAAATTCATTAAATCTTATATCATATCATATTATATTGTATGCTACAGAAGCGTGTTTCATAGAAAATATTGCGCCGTAAACAGTGCTTATGTCTTTGCTGTCGCAAAACAATAGCTATTGATAGGTATGTGTGAAAAGGAATAACACGTATTCTTCTTTCGCAGAGAACATGAGTCCATCAACGCAAGAGACCCGATCGGAACGCGAGAACGGTTCAGAAAGCAAGCCGCCTAGTGCTGAGCCTCCGCCAGCGTCACCTCCGTTCTCCCGCGAGCCTCCTCGCACGCCCGATAAGCCACAATGGAGCTACCCGCCCCCGCCCGTGGACATCATGCCCGGTGGAGCGGCTTTCTGGCAAAACTACTCCGGTAAGATAGAATCAGGAACTTTCCGAAAATCTATTTATATTAAAGATCTAAAAAATAAAATTGTTAAGATCCACGTAATAAAATTAAACGATGTGACTTACCTATTCTGAAAAGCACATTTGACCGTAGACCGCAGAGTCTACTTCACCTGAGGATGCCTCGTGTAGAGGCGAAACACGTGTTGTATTATCGACGATGGTGTGTCTTTCGTAGTGTAGTTGTGTTTGGAGTAGCGGTGCTGAAATTAGTGATGCCGGGGATAGTGCACGCAATTGAAGAAGGTATTCTTCAAACTAGACACATCATTTTTAGGGTTCCGTACCCAAAGGTTAACCAACGGGACCCTATTACTAAGCCTCCGCTATCCGCCCGTCCGTCCGTCTGTCCGTCCGTCCGTCCGTCCGTCTATTCGTCCGTCAGTCCGTCCGTCTGTAAGTTTGTCAGCGGGCTGTATCTCATGATCCGTAATAGGTAAACAGTTGAAATTTTCACAGAATGTGTATTTCTGTAGGCGCTATAACAACAAATAATAAAAATAAAAATAAATTAAAAATTAAAGGGGGCTCTTCTACTAGACGCATGATTTACGATGGCAAAACATGTTTCTAGTAGTAACCCTTCATGCGCGAGTCCGACTCGCACTTGGCTGGCTTTTTTATTAGCAATTTATTTTTTAAGATCTTTAATTACTACTCCGGTAAGATAAATCTTACAAGTACCGTTAAAGTGTTTTTGACTTATCTTTGAAACAGAATACTTACACAATTATTTCCATTACAAATTAATGTTGGCTATTCCAACTTTTATAAACTAGCCACGATGGAAAGACTAAGTGCTTTTGTATACACATCAATACTTCTTCACCTGAAGGTAACAATGATAATCACATAACAAGAATCGTTACGTAAACAATTTCAATTACAAAATAATAAGTTTATAATAGCAAGAAAAATATTGTACGTAACCTTATATAATTTATACAAATATTTATACGCGTAATCGACTCCTAAACTAATTCAAAATTCATGTGTACCACAGAGGTACAGAGGCTATTGCATCAAAAGCTTCTAATAAAATGCTATTGATACAGATCATAAAAGAGGGTCTGGAAAAAAATTCGACATGTGAAATTTATACTCGTCATATTACATACCATTGAGGATCGGGAATGCCAAATATTTAAAAGCACAAAATGAACGCTACACGCATTCCCGGGTTTTGTTGTTATTTTATTTGGGGGGAGATTTTAAAATCAAATCGTTTGATTTAAAGAACTACATATATAAGATATACTTTTGCAATGTTATCGGTTTTGGGTATTATTTTTAATCACAAAATTAAACTGTTATTACAAGTAACGTTGTAGAAATAAAATGCCTAAGGGTAAAAAAATACTGGTTGAGCTGAGCTTAAAGGACGATGTAAAAAACAATCAATCTCATCCCACGTGTTCGGTATCGGACGTAGTTTTTTCATTCATATCCGCTTTGTGGAAAGCCTAGAAATTTCATTAAAAATGCACTGGCCTCGGAGTTTGAAATACTATTGTGTACCAGCCAACTCTCGCACGCTCAGTTTGATGGTTGTGAAACGTTGCATAGCTCTTTCTACAGATTTTCATTTTACCAAAATGTTCTTAAAAATGTACTTTAAATTATTATGTAATTATTCTTTTGCTTAAAAATTATATTGCGCGCAGTGAAGTTATCGTATAAGCTATGTCCTTGAAATGTTTTTAACTTCCCAGTCATGCAGGTTTCCTCTCGATGTCGATGTAAATAAGAACTTTAAATTCATCATGACGCGGGACATCGAACTCGGGTTGCTGACATTGGTAGAAGGTATCGATTGCTCGAAATTTCCTTTAATTAGAGCAATGAAACCCAACATTAACATTGATACCCATAACTGTTTCCTGTATTTTACAGCCGAGTGGCTTTTACCGATGGAGTACTTTTCAAACAGAAATTGCAACTAATTTAAGTGTTATCCAACCCCAAGTATCTAACACACGCGAACACGCGAATACTGTAGTTAAAAATAAAGGCATTTACAAATATTGCATAGATACGATTAACCGACAACAGAGCTGCTTTTTTAGTTGCGTTACTGGTTTTTGAAATGTAAGTTTAAAAATGCACATGCGTACAACAGAATAGAAATAAAACAAAAACCTTACTTATTTAATAACTAATCCACTGTAATGTTTATTTTTCCTAACATAATTTTATACGAAAAACGTAATAAAAATCAAAATTGGCCCTGGAGTAAAATTTGTCCTACGACGAATCTCCTGCTAGGGAGGAAAACATGTTTTATTATTCCTAAATTAGAAAACTTCGTGCGTTTCCTACAAGAAATAAGAACAAAAACGTGGAAATTATACTTTTAAACAATTGTAAGATAATAAACACAATTATATCTTTGTTGAGTATTGGAATTCAATAGCGAAGCGAATAGCAAATGTGCCTAGTATATTTTTATGATTATACCAGATTTTTTTATAGAAATAGGGTGACAAACGAGCACACAGTCCACCTGATGGTAAGTAGATGCTGTGGCCCATAGACATCAACATCTATCCTCGTTTACGAATTAAAATGCAGATACGTTGTCACCCCTGACGACTAACATGGAATGCCCCGTGTCCAATAAAAAGGATCTTTGGTTCTCTACACTCACCATACGAAACACAGCAGTAACACGCTGTTCTGTGAGAGCGTGGTCCTTCTCCATTCGAGCCGACATATTCGAGTTACAACCATAATATAGCTACAGCATGGCTCTACTACGTCTAAACGTAACTTTTAAAATATTATTAATTACATACACATTTATATTGTTAACGTAATACAAAAAACTATTATCTTGATAAACAGCACTATAGTACCTATATAATATAAATGTACACCAGAAAATAACATCGAAACTAGTCGAAGTTGTAAGACTAGAATAAAATAAAAATTAAATTGTATTATACAATACTTTGTTGATTTAATAAATTGTCTTTAACTTCAGGGAATATAATGATAAATTTTAATAGACTACCGACTGTAAATATTTAAAAAAATATGTAACACGAACATCCCTTTTTAATTAAACCATGGACTGAATGTCAAAATGTATCTCAGCCACGCGGTTGAAACGAATAAACCAACCGATGTTAAGTAATATAAAGTTGAAAAATTAATAAAGAGGAAACTTCGCCCAGCTACTTTTTAGGTGCGCTTATAAAATGAATGGAAATAAAAATTGTACCGCACAGGTGCGCTCGAAGCCTTTGACGATATTAACTTTTTGTTTATGCTGAAGACATAGCTGTGGCGTCGTACCAAGTGATTTCATGCACTCCCCACCAACCAACATTCCTTGCATACTTTAACATTCACCGCTTACGTACCGCCACTTTTAAAAATATAATTAGATAAACGCAGGCAATAACTTAGAGACCGACATAGCCCAACGGATTAGTAAGCTGAAATGGCAATGGGCTGGCCATATAGCTCGAAGAACCGACAACCGATGGGCAAAAAAGGTTCTCGGCAGCCTCGTACCGGTAGGCGAAGTGTAGGACGACCCTTCCGTCTAGATGGAGTGACGGTCTGGTAAGACATGCAGTAAGTCGATGGATACAGGTGGCATTCCTTTGGGGGAGGTCTATGTTCAGCAGTGGACTTGTGATGGGCTGTAATGATGATGATGATGAAGCAATAACCTTGTTTCTAATGCATAGGATATAACGATGACGTTTGTCTATTGGTAACTACAAAAACTAGTTTAAAAGTTGTTTTGACTAAAAGAGTAAACTATTTTAAATGAACCTTATCTTCGTCACGAAGAAATTGAATAGTTGAAAAAAGGTTTTGGAGAGAAATTCTTTAATGGGAAATCAATTCAATCAGTGCCATTAGTCACGCTAGAATACGGTGGCCACAGTATAGTCCATCTTGAGTTCTTAACACTTGTTCCCTATCTAGAGCTGTTTAGGTCATTAAAACGTTTCACTCTTAATCTCAAATCTCGCTTGCTACCTATTCTATTTAACCAACCCTTTGTTCTCAACCATCTCAAATATCCCGGTAAAGAATTTTTTATCAGAATATTTCACAGCTGTAATTAATTTGACGCTGAAAATTAACGGAGGTGTCCGTTGCGTGATATTTAAAAAAAAAATAATGAGACCGACTTTTCAATTATTCCGTCAGTGGTGTTGAGTTTCAAAAAGTTTTAAGTTTACGAACAAAGAGCAATTCGTATCGGATCAATGACATTATAAATAATGTATAAAATAAAAAGCCCAGCAATTTGATCACAGCGTGTTTTTGTATGGGCGAAGAGAGAAACAATTTGTCTCTCTAGGTACATGAATAACGAAAATGTAATTTCTTGCTCGATCCTCTATTTAATTATAAAATCAATTCGTTTCTCCAGAAACTAATGGACGAGTTGATCCACTGAATTGTTTTTTTTTTCAAGTTTTGTTTATGAAGTGCGTTGTAACTTAAGGAATGTCACTCAAAGTTGGTAGTGTAGCACTTATTGAAGCTACTTAAATAAGCCAAGAAATAAATAAACGCCGAATGTCGACTGAACCTATCATAAGAGGAGGTCTTTTTTTATTTCACTTAACATTTGATAAAGTTGCAAATATGGCGCAAAACATATGCAGTGCCCTTAATTTAATCGACGTCTAATTCGTATTTTTAGCTAGCGATAAAGGGAAGCATAAAGGGCTAACTTTTTATTTAAGTTAAGCGCTCAACCATTACAGTTATTTCAAAGAACAAATAGATTATAGCTCTCAAAGGAACCGGCAATTCTGTTTTAGGAGCGGCAAATGCAAAAATATTACGTATTCAAACAAACCTAATGGGACATTTAGGGGTGGCAGCGAAGTGAAACGGCAAAGGCCGAAGCTTTTAAGTGTATAATATTTAATTGTGACGCCCTAGGCGTATAATCTCGCCCGGGATAATAGGTTTCTGTTTCGGTACAACCCTCGATGGGCGACACTTGTGAGTGTGATGCCCCGAAGCCAGTCTCTGCCGAAACAAATCGGATTATAATTGAGTTTTTTCAAGTGACGAATGTTTTTGAGACAGATCGCAATTCACTTCAGATGCCTTTGTTTTTATTTGTACCTAATTGTCTTTCATTAAACGCCCGAATAATAGTTTCTCTAAGGAAAAAAATATTAAAATTCAGTCAAAGAAATATTATACAATAAACTATTATGTTGACCTTTTAATTAACTTAAGTAAATTTCACAAAAATGTTTTTTTTAATTTACAGTCCCCGGCCAACCTTTGACCAATATCCCCACTAACATAAAATGATAATACGGAACTCAATGGTTACTAGTGTAGAAAATGTCTATTCACTCTTGCCTTAATAACTTCCTAAATGTTAGTGACCAGGGACGCGTAACGCAGTTAAAATAATTCCTAATACCTCGTTGTGCACACCAAAAATTATAAAGGCATTTCATCAACGTAAGGATGAAATCTAACAGTACCTTTAGGTATTTGGTGGCAAAATGGAATGGAAGAGCTAAAAAATTCAAACTCTTGCGCACTCTCCACAAAATGTATGTGGTATAGAACTTATAACATTATGTCACTTATAACATAAGAAATACTGGTTGTATCAACTGCAGTAAGCAAATAAAACACCACAAAACATTTCTTAATGTATTTTCTAATAATTTTTATACAGCCAAACGAAGAATAGAATTTTTTAATGTTTAGAATAAGGGTGACAACGCGCACACAGTCCACCTGATGTTAAAAGGATGCTGTGGCCTATAGAAATCTACATTTATCCTCGATTAATAATCAAATTGCTGATGCCCCTGAGTACTAAGATAAAATGCCTCGTTTCCAGTGCAAATGGTCTCCAAATCTCTACACTCACAATACGAAACACAGAAGCATTGAGCTGCTATTTTACGCTGGTATTCTATGAGAGCGTGGTCTTACCCCGGTCGAGTCGACCCATTCGTGCTACAACCATAATATAGCTGCAGCGTGGCTCTACAACCTATTTTACTGAAACCATGGGTGCTGTAAATCACGCGAAACATAGGGAATTTAATAAAAATAAGTTAATTAAACGCGATAGAATCCGTAAAAGTTGTATCGTTCAATGTGTAGTGCTCGCGTAAATATAAGAAATCATTATAACTAAACGAAATATATGTAGCTTTTAAATAAATTGCATTAAAAAGGTTTTTCAAGTTTATCATCAAAACACATAACATTTAATCATCACAACATTTAAAGTTTGAATTATAGGCGAATATCGGGAAGACGAAATTGAATTCCTCGTTGAGAAAATGTTCCATAAAAGTAAGCAAAAAAAAACGTGATTCCGATTTCTTTTACATCTCGTAAATTGCAAGAGGCGGCAAGCGTTGCATGAAATTGAATAAGCATATTTCGTAAAACGTAGACGTTTTCGGAGACAATTGCCTTACCTCATCTACTCGTGCCTCTTCACGAACTTTGTCAATTTTCGCGAAATGCTATTAGAAATTCTTCTATAAGCGTATTCTTATTTTCTCAGACTCATAATATTTTATTGCTCTTTTTTACATTTATTTTTCTTAAATTTTTTCTTCAAATCATTAAATATGTTTAATAAAATACATCAGTTCAGTCATCATACTTTAACTAAATTGTTATACCCATACACATTCGTATTATCATATTAAGTAGGTTTTAGTAAGATAGAATACATTTTTATAATAATTTTTTTTTAAAGTTACAATTAAATGTAAATACACTAATATAGAAGGCTTTAAATCAACGAAGCACTAAGTGGCAACAACCCTTCTTGACGCAATTTAATAAGCGCTAGCGTTATGCCGAGTACGTTTTTACCAAAGGGAATATTGAATATTAAGTTAGGAAGTGTCATATGGATGCAAAGTCCGTTTGATGTCAGCCACTTTCCCCAAAACACTAATGATATTTTCCGGGTCCTCACACTCGTACATTAGCGTCGTTTATTTGTGACTTACTATCACAGGAGTTCATTATGTGCATAGTAAAAAATATAAAGTAACTTTAAATTTAGAGCCAAGCCTTGTAATTAATTACCAAATGTCAGATAATTATTAGACATTCATATTACGAATTTGAAACAATAAACGCAACGTTATAAAAAAAATCATCTATCTATATCAAGGAATCCCAATTCCAAATTATTTTGACCAATGTCACTTTAATTTTTTTTTGTTGTTAGCAGGGACCACAAAGTGAAAGAAAAGGCTATGTTAATCTAACAATAAATAATAAGCAAACTTTTAACATAATTATGTAATAAACTGAAAACAAGCATTCATTTTTTTCATTCAACAGTTTTATTTGTGTATTTATTGTAAAAACTACTCGGTACTTACTGACATGACGAAAAAATAATATATGTATTATTTAAAACGATTAGGTAGGTAATATATTTAAATGTGTCACGTACCATATTTAATCTTTAGCGGAACACTGGTTAGGAATCATTGATCTATTTTAACCTGTCTATTACAAGATTTGTTACCTTTCCCAGTGTAGAGAGAATTTGCTTTTCTTTATTTATTATAAGCCAGTGCCAGCGGTAAGTGGTGAGTAATCCCTAGATGATAATGCGCACTGTATTAGCGTAGCTAACGTCTTTGCCTTGAAGACGCTCAGATTATATTCTAACGGAAAGACAGATGCCGGCAGATTATTTCTACCTTTGCTGTACGCATTACCGTTTGTTTCGAATGCGTAGATTATCGACAACAAACGGATGGAGTCCTGCCGACCGCCTGATAGTGGAAAGGCTAGGCAGTAATTAAAGAATGTAATTCCTGCGCACACTTTCCCAAATGCATCCTATAGAACTTTAAACATCACGCTTGACACGTGAATTGACGCACCAAACGTCATTTACTCTAGATGCTGCTTTCTTTCGCTGGTCTGAGTGTTTACGCCTCGCGTAGACGAGATGGTTACACCACCATTTATCAGAGCTACAAGATCATCCATAGTTGCCTCTACACCCACGTTGCAAAACACCCACGGGACGAAATAGGATGATGGTTTCTCTTAAGCCATCAAAACACTGGTACTTAGCCATGGTAGCTCACCTAAGCGCATGCTCTAAATTTCACTGTACATGGGTGACACACACACAAATGTGTGGCAACCTGGGTTCGAACTACCCTCCTGCAATAAAATTGGCGTTGTGCTTATGAACTGTCGAATTGCTGATTTACCATGTACTTGGCGGTAAAGAAAAACTGTGAGGAAATGCAGGTTTTCTCACAAAGTCACAGGATAAAAATATTTCTAGTGCATCTAAATTCTACCAAGATGCTTTGGAGCAGTGCTCGGGATGGACTAATTACTCTATATCCATTAGAAACGAGAAGAGGCTACTGCTGGAGTGCGATGTATTTAGGTTATAATTTTTCTCAGTTGGTAGCCAGCGTCCTCGTTAATTATAAACACGCCTATTCTGCCGACTTCAAAAAGGAGACGGTACTCAAATCGACTGTATGTTTTTTTTTAATGTGTGTTACCTCACAACTTTTTATTGGGTGGACCGATTTCGATGACTCTTTTTTTATTTGAAAGCTGGTACTTCACATGTGGCACCATATGAATTTGATCAAGATCAGACTAATAGTTTTTGAGTTATTCTTAATAATTTATACTGAAGTTGGCTGTGCAAAATTTTTATTCTTAAATCATTTATAATCAACGAGGTCACTGGCTTATAAACAACACTTGATTATAAATAAGGTACACCACTCTTAGGTGAGATTGACACATTAACAAAAAGAAATAATCTCTCCTTAACACTATTTACTTATGTACTTTATGTACATATTAATCATCATTACCATTAAAGCCCATCACAAGTGAACTGCTGAACGTGAAATACCACAAACACGGTCCAAATTCACCTGCATCTATCGACTGCCTGCACATCTCTTATCAGGTCGTCACTACATCTATTGGGGGTCATCCTACACTTCGCTTGTTGGTACGAGACTGCCACTCGAAAAACTTTCTTCCCCATCCTTTGTCTGTTTTTAACTACGTAACCGGGTCATTGTCACTTTACTCGTATTCAACAACTTGTATAATATTTTATGTGTTATTGTTAACAGAATCCTTGGCGCAAGAGTTGGAAATGGAGCGCAAGTCCCGTCAACAGGCCATGGAACGTGATGTGAAGAGTCCTTTGTCAGAACGTGCCAGCTACTACAAAAACTCAGTGCTGTTCAGCTCGGCCACTTAGCTGACGGGTTCCGGGGCTGCGGACCTCCCCGATAACCAACATTACGACAGTGAAAGTGACGACACGAGGAAACCCATTATCAGTGTCAAGCCTGAGTTCAGAGAAAAATAGGATACACAGATAGGCGACTGTAAACGCTTTAGACGAGTCTTCGAAATTCTCGAGAAGTAAATTTTTTGGCCCCAAATTTATGGCATAGGTTTACTTCAAAATGTTCATGTACATTAATATTTTCATCTTTTAGTTTAGCTCGTAAAATTCGATGTATCAGATCTCGACGAAGTTGTACTTTTAACTGAGATTAAATGTAAATACTGTTATGACGTACTAAGCACGTAGATTGCGTTGAGTTAATGCGAAGTCTAAGGAAATTTTTCTTCCATAGCGAAATTTGTAAATATTTCTTTATATTTTTTAGTAAGTAAGTCGTAACCGTTTTTATCGACGATTCACGTTATTTATTCGTCAACATTTAATCATTTACGAATCGTACCTTTAAACTTATCGTTAAATGCCATATTTATCTGTAAGTATCCATCATTATTTACATTTTATACATTAAAGTAAGTGGCAGGATGTTCTACTTTTTTATTTGTGCTTTTAACGAATGATATAGATATGTCACAAGGAAAACCGATTCTCTGTATGAATAAATGTAGGAATTGATCTAAGACTGCTTTTCGATATGGTCAAAACATTATTTATTCGCTAGTCCAATCAAAGAACTGAATTACAATTGGTTTTCTACACTTTATTGTCTTAAAAACAGAACGCTTTACAAAAATTTCGTCAGTGAAACTGCATAAATCTTTGAATACATTTTGATCACTTGTTATATTTTTAAAATTCAAAATTTTTACGTTCGACTTATGTATGCGATCAACAATAATATATAATTTATTAAACTTTAGTGCAATGATTAGATGTAACTGAAACTAGTTTTACATTAAAAAAAATCATAAAAAACGATAGATTAAGTAAGTGATTGGAAAGTATTGATTTTTTTAAATTATATTTGACTGAATACAAAAGAGACAGTTACGTTATACAATGTAACGCAAGAGACTCATCTAGAGTTTCGCTTACACGTTGCATGAAAATATCCCAGTATCTCATATCCATGATGCAGAGTCGGTGTCTGTGGATGATTATTAACAATAAGTGCGTAGTTTTAAAATTATAAATGATAGCGTTATTTATATTGATGCTTAGTTAACGAAAGGACTTTAAACGTCTATAATAGTATAAATAAGAATTAGACATTGTATGGGACGTAAAATTGGCGCTTGGCTATTGAAGTACACGTTTGTGAATACACACATATCCGTAATGTTTGCATGTGCAACGTCTGTAGAAGCTTTATTATTGATACATCTAAAATATCAATATAAAAATAGAGATAGTCAAGCGCCGATCACGATGATCACTTAATTCGATTACTTTCATACATACGAGTATTATCTATATTGGGTAATGCGAAGTAATGAGTAAAACTTAGTTGTTACTATAAATGTTTAGCTGAACATGTGTGGTTGTAAAAAGGGCATGAATGTGGCATTTCATATTGGTTTCAATTCTGTTATGTACTAAGAGTAAATACGTTACAGCAACATGCAAAATTTAATTGTAAATCCAGCGCTGGCGGCCTCGGACCGCTTTTAGCTTTAGATTTTTCTTTTTCAATTAGATGTCGAGGCTTACTGTTACTGTAAACTTACAAATTGTTTTATAATATGCAATTCATAAAGTGAACGTTTATTATTTATTATTTCTATAATAGTTTTGAATAATTTACTTAAAATTGTGTGTGTGCCTTGTATCGTAGAGGAAAATATCGAGATTAAAAATGAAAATTATCATTTAGTGTTTTGTTTTTACACCTTACCAAATTTTCAACCATTTACTTATCATTACCGTCAACGTTATAGCCCATCAACTCCCTGCATATTTTAACAGATCGTTACTCTTAGTAGAAGTCTCTTTACTTGCCAGTATCAAGTGATATGTAGCCCGAAGCTGCCAATCAAAAATCTTTCTTTCCTGTCGGTTTTAGGTTCTTCGAGCTACATCAATGATCGACCAATTGCTACTTAAATTTACCGATCTTAACATTGAACACAAAAAAAAACCCCAAACATAGTCTTCTCAATATCACTCTAAACAACCTTGAGCTTCCTCACAAGGCATGCAGTGAAGGACCAAATCTCGTTTCCGTATGCCATCCGTATGTAATAATGAATGGTATATAAAATATAATTAATAAATGGCTGGTCGAGAGTCAAGATGCCTCGAAATATTCCGAGTCTTATCCAACTCAAATTTTTCGGTTGACCTCTTAATCTACACAGCAGGCTTAACTGATACAACAATCTTAAATAATAGTGTAAAAATATCACATATTTCAATATAAAATATATTTTTATTATTAAGAATTTTTTCTAATAATTTCTGAATAAAAGTACTTCCCGACACTTCCAGACTAAAGTAAGTATAAGCTGAAAAAATATTGAGACAATCACGTTTAATATTAACTGAAGCCAAACCCAAGATTTTTAACAGTACGAATGCTTAAAAAATATTCCATACCGAATATATTGAAAGAAAACAATTATAATTAATAACAAAGAACCTGATTGCAGTGGTCAATAATAAAACGACTGGTAGGTCAAAATGTGTTTCAAGCAAGCATAGTATTTTGCTTTGTGTTTTTCAATGAGTACGCGGCTCACCTGATAAGTGGCGACCGCTGCCTGCTAACAACTGCAACACCAGTGAACTGCAGGTGTTTCAAAAAAGGAGTAAGTTCGTTTCTTGAAGGTTCCTAAGTCTCATCGGTCCACAAAGAAGTCGTGCGATGAAGAAAATTTTTTCAAAACATAATGATGATTTTCCGAGGATGACACGAATAATATTTCAAAATAAACAAGCCGTTTAGGTTATTGGTTGTAACAAAGACACGGTTGTGTTCAGTTGGACGCTATGACTATACAATGGCTTGACGAATCGTCTAATTGCTTTTAGCCAATTTAGGATTTGACTTATAAGGAATTTGACGATTGTCTGCAAAATTAATAATATTTTGTTATAAAATACGGCGGACAAACAAAGAATGTCACAGTCCACCTGACGGTAAATGAATGTCGTAACCCGTAGACACCTCTATCTATCATCGATTAAGAATCAAAATGTAGATGCGTTGTGAGCCCCGAGGACAAAGATAGAATGCCTCGTTACCAGTGAAAAGGGCACTGCAGTAGTAGTATCCAGTGCACCGCACTGACCATACGAAACACAGCAGCATTAAGCTGCTATTTAACACAGGTATTCTGTAAGCGTGGTACTTCCGCAGTCGAGCCAGCCCCTTCTGTAATTTTGCTGCAGCGTGGCACTACCACGTTAAAAGCAGGAGACTATGGTTTATTAGTGGGTTAATAATAGACTATTAATTATTATATTTTGACATAATAAAAGTCACAAAATCTATCAAAACTACAAGCGAGGCGCGAGCATTTTTAAATAAGGCGAACTCTTCAAGCGATTTCATACCTGAAAAATTCAAAGTTATTTGGTGGCAAATACTAAAATGGATATAACTAATAAAAACAACTATTTAACTATAACACCAGCACCAGCTTAATATAGTTCCTATTTAAATATATACTTACACATGAAGACACTTCCTAGGGCAGTGGCAACCATAATATCTAAATTTCAAGTGTCTTAAGTGATCATCTCCCCATCATAACTTATGTGTGTCGTGATAGTTAACCAACAATGCCCTAATGCATTTTGACAGACTTCACAAGCACAGCATTTAAAATTGCAATTAACAATTTTATTGGTGCTGGCGGAGATCGAATCCAGGTTGCTCGCGTACTTAGTTTTTTTTTTATAGGATAGGGTGACAAAAGAGCACACAGTCCACCTGATGGTAAGTGGTTGCTGTGGCCCATAGACATCTACATTTATCCTCGTTTGCAAATCAAAATGCAGATGCGTTGTCTACCCGTGAGGACTAAGAGAGAATGCCTCTTTTCCAGTAAAAAGGGTCTCCGGTTCTCTACACTCACCATACGAAACACATCAGCATAAAGCTGATATTTGACGCTGGTATCCTGTGAGAGCGTGGTCCTTCCCCGGTCGAGCCGACCCATTCGTGCTACAACTATTAACTAATATAGCTGCAGCATGGCTCTACCACGTAAAAAAGCATTATCAGCGTACGAAATAATGTCCGCATTCAGTAATCTTAGATTCAAGAGGACGTTAATATACAGAGTAAAAACCTTGGGTCTAGAATATTATCTGAAAGTATGAAAAAAATTGATTAAAAGTCTCCTCACTTAATATTCGTCCAACTGTCGTACATTGCTGATGCTTCGAAAAATCATTTTCAAACCACATGTATGATAGGCTCCATATTCAGTGAGTTTCATTTTTTTAACAAGAAGTTGAGTTGAAACTGTTTCGAATGCTTTAGCCAAGTCAAGAAATACTTGGCTAAAGCACCCTAGTCTAAATATCTAGTACTGTTTCGTCATCGGTAGATTTCTTACGCCTGAAACAGAAATTATGTTTTTGTCTAAACCTTGTCGATCTCATATTCATTATCCTAACGACTTCAGTTTAGACAATATTTGTAGCAGTGTGATTGGCTTATATTTATATCAGGATTACCTGTATCAGATTATATGTATGAGAGTTATTACAGCTAATTTCCAACATTCAGGAAAGCATTGCTGAGCTAATATTTTATACATTAGTAAGTGGTTTTGGAACTGATTGTCTAATTTTTATATGGACTCGTATTATACGATCCAAGCCAAGCGCGCTGTTATTTTTCAGCTTGCAAATAAATGTATATACTTCGTCAGGTAGACAGAGTAGAGAGAAAAAGGAGACTCATGCTTTTAAAAAATTCTGATAATTGTAATAAAAAAATTTACATGTCTTTACTTAACCAGTGCTTGACTACCATCCCACCTAATGGTAGGGGTAAT